AATTTTGGGTTGTTTTTTTTTACTATTAACATTTGTTAGACAAACCTGGTCTATTATGTGTGCACAGAAATTTCACTCAGTTTGATCAAACCACCAGAATCAACACATAGGTGCTGCAATGATGCTCACTCTGTAGCACACTTGTAAATAGAAAGATCAGATGATCTTTAATCAAAAGCTAACTGTTGTAATGGTTGTTTTGTTTCTGGTGTTTGCATAGCAATGATTTGTAAACTTGTTAAAACTTTGTACATGAATACAGGTTGCACCTTTGAAAACTGGCACTCTGGTCTGGCAACTGGACCACGGATGATCCTGGACCAGAGAGCCCAGGAGCCTAAAAGAGCTGGAGGGCCAGCCGGGACTGGGGACTGCTTCTGACTCCGCTTCTTCCCCAATTGCACAGCGAGGCTCGGAGCTTTCCCTCTATGCCTCCCCTCACAAAGCCAGTGCTGTCGCTTCAATACTGTGGGGGGATGGCAGGAGTGCCAGCACAGGCTCCCCATTGGGAGATATGCTCGAACTGCAAGCCATATTTGGCTCCGTACTGAGACATATTTGGCTTAGGAACCGCAGATTGCCAACCCCTGCCATGGATCATGGAGCCAGAGCCCTGGGTCAGCCCCATGGAGCATGGGCCAGAGCTGGAGCCCCACAGCAGTCCATAGCAAGCAAAGCCGGGGCCCCACCTCATGAGCCGGAGCAGCTGGGTGAGCAGTCCAGACGGGGGGGGGCCAAGGTGCTTTCTGGGGCAGCCTGCAAGCAACAGGCAATGTGTTTGGTGGCCAGTGACAAGGGAACCTTGCCTAGTCCAGCAAATTCTCTCATATTGGACAGGTCAGGTCCCAGTGGTGCTGGACTAAAGAGCTCCACCCCGTAGATTTTAAAAACAGCTGATTGAAGGTTCACGGATGCTTTGTATTTTTATTATACCTTCATACTCTCTCGTAACAGTAGCTTTTGAAGTCTGTTTAAAAACTGAGTCCCTGTTTCATTTTATAGGTATACATATGAACAGCCTCAATCTATTTAACAGATCCAATTACCCAAAAAAGCTTGCTTTTCCTTGGACTGTAAGTGCTGAAGTCTTGCCTGGGCTGCTGCTTTTATTTCAATGGAATAACAAACAGTTGTACATAAAATGGAAGAGATAACATTTAAGTTAGTTGGACTAATTTATACTTTTCTAACACTAAATTCAACACAGCACATGCAAGATGTTTGTTAATGACTTCCTCAGTATGGACAGATCAAGAGAAAATTCCAAATGTGGATCTTGCTTATGTATATTTTTCTTCCCATACTTTCTCACATGATTTTTTTACTTGCATGCAAGGACTAATTAAAAAAAATTGTTAGTTGATTAAATTCTGTTCATCAGAACTTTAGCACTGTAGATACTGTCCAAATATTGTGAAATTAGTTTCTGCATTATGACAGATTATTATTTTTAGCTGACACATGATAAAGGTCTTTCATATGCCTTTATTCATAGAACATAAGTGATGTCAAGGCTAATCCCCTCTGGATTCACAAATAGAGGACAAAACGCTAAGGGTTAAACTATAACTTTATAGCCTGCCCTGAATAAAGAGTGATGAATAGCTGCATCTCCAAGCAGACCAGAAAACTAATGATGACTCAGTCACAATTTCTCTCCAGCTCAGAGGAGGAAGTAAATTACTTCATCCTTTTTCATGGAAAAGTTTATTCACTTCCTATGACTGACCAACTACTTTGATCAATAATTTAAGAAAAGGAGCCAAGAGTGCTCTGAGCCCTCTCCCCCACAAGAAAGGGGTGAAGTGTATCAGAAACAGCCACTACTGACTCCCTAACTTCCTCAGGCATAATTTGATGGAGGACTAGTAAGGGAGGCCTTAATCCTCTCACCTCCTTATACAGTCAAAAAATATGGGCTGTGGTGGATGTCCATACTAACCTCCTTCCATCTGAGGTGCAAATCCTCACTTAAGCAAGAGTCACCATTCAGGAGGGGCAGTCTCTGCGGGGAGAAGCTGGGGGAATGCTCCACCCAACTCTGGGCTTCTCACCTCCCTGTGCAGGTAGCCGGGCTCACTCAGCCCAGATGGGAGTAAGGGACAGCTGGGCTCTAGCTGCCCCGCTTTCGCATCAATTTCATGACTCCAGCATGCTCAAATTTGAGTACATCTAACATTATACTCTTCTAAAATTTAATATTTACAAAATATGTGCCCATTTCATCTAATTCAGCAAGAAGGAGATGTGCAACAAACATTTTTAACCCAGGTACACTGAACTGCATTTATTCAATATGTTTTCAATTTGAATTCAAACTCTTGATAACATGATTTAAAAACATGGTTGGTAAAATATTTTTAAAAACTGAAACTGTCAATGTGTTCATTGCTGTAAAACAGGGGTGAGGAACCGTTTCTGGGTCAGGGGCCACTGACCAACAGAAAAAACAGTTGGGGGCTGCATACAAATGAGAATCAATCCCTTTCCCCCACCACAAAATCAAACCCTTGACTAAGACAGACACTCCCCTCATTCCTCTCACACGCCAGATCCCGGGGGAGGGGGAGCGGGGAGAAAACAGGTTAGTAGATTTTGTGTGCTCTAGCACTGTGGTGTGGCAGTAGGGGTCTAGAGTACGAGAGCAAGCTCTTCAACTTTGGGGGAAGACCTCAGCTTCGGGGGCCCAATCCAGGGGCTACATCTGGCCCCCAAGCCTAAGGTTCCCCACCCCTGCTGAAAAGAGTAAAGATATGGCCCTTTTCCAAAAGGTTTTAATAAACTGTTAGACACGTGAGCTACAAAATTTGAATAGGTCACTTCCATATAATCCTATGGATAAAAAAATAACACAGAATACAGATATTAGATGGCAGAGTCCAAAAACGTGTTCCTTCCTATACTTTTCACCTTTCTCCCTTTATTTGTGCCTATTTTTTTCCAGTTCAGACCAGCCAGCAAGTGTAAGAGAAAGTTAGGGCCATATTCTTATATGGTAATAACAGAACTGCTTTATCCACATCTTCAGTTGCTAAATGAAATTTATTAGAATCCTTGTTGCTTTAATGGAACAAGTAAAACTTCTGTGCAGGAACATAGCTTTAAAGTGAGATGGAAATGAGGGAGTAGACCATTAGCTGGTCAAAAAGACACTGTAAATCAATAGCTAGGTCATAAGACAAAAGCTTAGGCCTGGTCTACACTAGAAATTTACTTGGGAACAGCTGTGTCTGTCAGAAGTGTAAAAAATCCACATATTTGAGAGATGGAACTATGCTAACCTAATTCTCAATGTAGACCAGTATTAGCTCAATGGAAGAGTTCTTCCATCAACCTAGCTACTGCCTCTCAGGCAAGCAGATTACCTATGGCAAGGGAAGAAGCCCTCATTGGCAGAGGTATTAGCATTTACACAGAAGCACTACAATAGCTCCACAGCAGCATTTTAAGTGTTTATCTCCGGTTAAGAAACCTGGATTCAATTACCAGCTATCATTAACATGTAGTGTAATGCCAGGCAAAGCAATTTTCTTCTCTATGCCTTCATTGCCCCTTCCAATCTTTGTCTCTCTGTGCTATTTAGGTTAGCACCTCTTGGCTTCAGGAGTTTTGTAGTACAGGCAGTCCCCGGGTTACGTACAAGATAGGGACTGTAGGTTTGTTCTTAAGTTGAATTTGTACGTAAGTCGGAACTGGTACATATTGTAGGGGAAACTCTAGCCAAACATTTCTCCAGAGCTCAGTTTTATTCTCCCACACCTCACTTCCCTCAGTCCTTTATTCTCAAGCTGAGGTGTCTGCTGAGAAAAGCCGCTCTGCGTCTCCCTGGTCTGCTGGGGGGAAGGGGGCGCTAGCTTCACGTCTCCCTGGTCTGCTGGGGGGAAGCAGCTAGTGCGGGGTTGCCTCACCCCGTTTGTAAGTAGGGATCTGATGTAAGTCGGATCCATGTAACCCGGGGACTGCCTGTACCTAGAACAATAATCTGATCTCAACTGGCCTCAGATGCTACTGTAATACACATTATTACTATTTCTATTGAAAGGGTTTTGTAATTATCTTTTTCCTTCCTCTACAGGTCACTAAATAACTTTGTGTAAAGCTTGCCTTTACTCAGAAGTATTGTGTCCAGGTGTTAGAGTTGGAACTTCATTTGGTATAGGCTATGAAATTAGCAAGTTTGTCTCCCCCTCACTTCCATAAGAATAAAATCAAACTCAGGTCGCCATCGTGGTAAGCACTATTTTCAATTACTTTGTACTCTGTCATAATATACTAATAATTTTTAACAGCACATAATGTGTCATGTCCATCCATAATCCTGTGTTTTTCCCACTTCATAAAGGATTGGTTAAAGGAAAAATAACAATCTCAAGAGTTAAGCAAGAAAATGTTAACAAGAGGCATGTGTAAAGATACAAGTGGTCAACTTTTAGATCGTGAAAGTGTCCTCTTCAAATAATTAATAAAATACCACTTAATGTTCAAGGACAACTTCAAAATTACCTAATGCTGTATAGCACATCACAATGCCATGGCCCTATATCCGTAAGGGAGAAATCTTCAAAGTCATCTTAGATCTAACCTCGTTTATATGCTCTCACTCTTTTTCCTATGGAAATAGAAAAGTTTTCGACTACACTAAATTTTATGACTTGGATCCTAATTCTGCAAAAATTTGTACACTCACGTGAGTAAACTTACATCCTTTGCAGAACCAAAGTCTTAAGTGGTCCAAATTAAAGTCTTTGGAGTATCATTTGCCCTCATTCTCTACATAAAAAATTCCTATTTGACACAAAGGGAGTTTCAGACAGATTGAAAGAATGAGTCCAAGTGATAAACCAATATAAATGAGGTATTTCATTGTTTTACTGATCCTCTAATTTACCTGTTATATTAGTTTAATCTGGTTTCTGATGGTGTTTTTACATACGATACAGAAAGGTAAACTCCCTCAATTCTAGATTCTTTGCTTAAATATTTCAGTGAATAAAACTTACTGTCATCCATCTGGAGACTTGGAGGACAATAGAACTTTTTATGAGTAATTAAATTTGGTAATCCTCTGAAGAGACTGCGGCATATTTTACATTCAAAAATGGTGTCCACGTCTTTTAACAAGATATGTTTAAGTTGTTTAGTTCCTGGAACAAAAGAAATGTTGCACTTAAAATAAGACACTTTTTTTTTAAACTCACACTATTAAAACAAAAACACTTTCAAATCAAACAAATTTCCCTGCTAAAATAGGAAATAATGTAAAACAAAACACCATTATCTATTTCATTTTAAGTCAGCTTCAAACATTCTGGATTACTGGATAAAGACTAAAGAAAACAACAAGATTACATAGTATAAAAAGCAAAAGTATTATGAGCTTAAATATTAAAACTAATAGCTAAATTCCAAAAGAGGGTTTTGGTTAATGAGTTATAATTGCTTACCAGGTGGAAAGCACAACAGCCACCTAATCATTTAAATCATTATTTGGTACCTTTTCAAGCTCCTCAGAAAGCATTAAGCATGTACAACAAAACACTTTCACTTTAAAAGACTATCAAACGGGAGGGAAATGTAAAGAATACAATAAAAATAAAAGAGAATAGGAGATAAATTCTAGAACGTTGCATGAGGGTACCAAAGATATATGTAGTTGCGCTTATATTAGAAAACAGAATTTGGACCCATATCTTTCGTCTGCCTATGGTCTTCCTTGATAAAGAAAAATATAAATTTTAAAATTAGTTTTGAATTATGTTTTGAAAAAAATCTATAAATGACTGAACATTTGAGCCATCTAGTCTACTATAAGTATACTGTCCCTTTTAAAAATATTTTTAAATGTTGGATTGTGTGTTAATATTTTAATTCAGGAGGAGGGAATCCTTCTGTTAAAAAAATGGAAGTGTAGTTAAAACTATATACCTGTTCTGAAAATATATCTTAGCATTAATTTATACAGAAGATACAGAGATCAGATGCAGACCAACTAATATCTACGGCAGCTATGAGAAATTGAATTAAAATAGCTGCCATAAACACAAAAAGTGAAACCTATAAGAGTCACTGAAAGACTTACTTTGAGACACACATTTAAAATCAAACAAAGGATAAATTTAACCCTTGCTTTCTTCAGTGGAAGTTAAGAGCTCAACAGTATTTCCTCCATATTTAGGATAACCAAATTATTTCTGATAGTCTATAAAATTAAACAGCTAATAATAATAATAATATACATTTTTGTGCAATTTACACATCATCTTACGTAACTATGAAACTAGAAAAGAAACTTGCCATAATCCCAATTTAGCAGAAATACACACGTTTTCATTAACTGACAAGAAATATCCAAAAGTATTTTTGACTGAAAAATTCTTCTGCATGTTTGTAATCCAGAATATCCAACTTTTTTTTTGAGTTTTAATAACAAACCAAAATGTTGAAGTATGATATTTAAAGCTATGTTGATTTTTAAATTTTACCATGTTTAATCAAAATAGCAAGTTTATTTTAAAAAAAAAATATATGAACTAAACAGTGTATCAACAGTATTTTGAGCATAAGATTGAGATATTCTTAACAGATTTCAAAAATAGATGGCACTAACTGCCCTATAACATCTAAGTGCTTTGAGCATTCAAAGACTACATGATTCTAACTCAAAACTCAAAGTTCAAAGCAAAAGGAAAGGGCCCCATTTACCCTAAGAGCCTGTGGGCCTGGCATTACATACACAAATCATTAACTTTATACTAGGATATTGAGTTAGTTAGAATTCACATAAAATTTCTGTTTTCTACCTTATCTATCTAAACATATCAAAACTGTCATTTTATCTGGAGATCACCACTGCCTACATACTGAAGGTCATATGAAAAGCACAAGTATCACTCATTGTTGACATCCCCAGTTCATACTATACATACATATTACAATTTCATCTAGGTAGACAATTGAGTCACAGAGGTTCATCTACATGTCTTAAAAGGCAAGAGAAGGGCCTCTACAACCCCCTGCCCCCTGTCCCCATTGCCCCATTCCCACTGCCCAGGTCCCTCTTCCCAGCCACATAACTCTGTCCCCACTCCCATCCCCAGCTACAGAACTCTGTCCCCATTCCCATCCCCACTCTCTGAACTCTGTCCTCATTCCCCTGTCCCGAACCACAGAACTCTGTCCCCACTGGCACCCTGTCCCCTGCCAAAGCACCCACTAGCACCCTTCCCCAGTACTATGTCCCCTGTTCCCACCAACGTGTTTGACATAGTATTTTATTTGAAAATGAAGCCTGGCCAACAAACCCCCAATTGGGGCCAAGCTCCCATCTGGCCACAGTATCGTAACACTCCTGCGCTCCCCTTTCCCCCAGACCCTACATCTGAGCCTATCATACACTGGAGCCCCCTGCCCTGAGACCCTCACATACCCCAACCCAAATTCCTGAACCCTCACATCCAGAAGTCTGTGGCTTGCTTAGTACCCTAACCCTACATCTGACCGGCCAGTATCCCCTTATCCACCTTCTCCTGCATCCAGATTTCCTCCCAGAGCTTGCACCTCTCACCCCTTCCCACACCAAATCCCTCATTCACACCCCAGAGCCAACACATCCTGTCTCAACCCAGCAAGGTTACGGCTAGACTGTAGGAATTTCAGGATTCCAGAGATATCCCAGAAAAACTCTTCTGCATCCAGGGATGCATTTGTTCTTCCACTTTTAGTGGAAGAGCAAACATGATCTTTCAGTCACCTCTATATTCCTCTTTCCACAAGGAATAAGGGGGCTTCCAAAAGAAGGGGTTTTTCTGACATTTGGTCCAGTCTAGACAGGCCAAATGTTGGAAAAACCTCTTCCTACAGAAGAATTGGGGGGGGAAAGCAGCAGTATAAGGGCTGGGGATAGCAAGTGATGGAGAGGAGGAGAATAGAGAGGGCGGATCTTCAAGGAAGGGGCGGGGCAGTAGGTCTTGGCTTGTTCTGTCATTTAAAAAGTGATCTTGGGTGTGAAAAGGTTGGGGACCACTGGTGTAACAGATCAAAAACAGGATGCTAGGCTGTTGGATTTGTCATTATAGGCATTAGCTACATTTGAAGCTTGAAAATAGGAATAAAGCAGAACTAATTCAAAATAATTAGGACAGGGACCAGTTCAGACAATCAAAAATTTGGAGAACAGAGAAAAAACACAGCTAAGCCACTGCCTGCTATTTTTTCCAGGGTACTTCAATAATCAAGCCCACAGGCTTTACCCATTTTCAGTGATTTAACTTTCCCTTCATCTATGGTGAAATGCTAGAAGTCTTTCTGTAAAAATGATGAACAAAAGAAATAATATTTTTCAATTCCCCTTATAGGAGTACTGTAGTATGATTTCTATTGTGAAAGTGCAACTTACAAATATAGACTATAAGTTATCTGCACTCCAAAATAAAACAATATAAAACTTTGGACTTGTAGGCTCTATTCGGTCCTACTTTTTGTTCAGCCAATCGTTAGCAGAAACAAGTTTGTTTACATTTATAGGAGATAATGCTGCCCGCTTCATATTTACAATGTCACCTGAAAGTGAGAACAGACATTCACATGGCACTACTGCAGCAGACACTGTAAGGTATGTGTGCCAAATATGTTAAATATTCATATGCCCCTTCGTGCTTCTGCCGCCATTTCAGAAAATATGCTTCCATGCTAATGATTCTTGTTTAAAAAATGCATTATATTTGTGACTCATCTCCTTGGGAAAGAATTGTACATCTCCTACTCTATTTTACCTGCGTTCTACAGAATATCGTAAGAGTGGCCATACTGGGTCAGACCAAAGGTCTATCTAGCCCAGTAACCTGTGTTCCAGCAGTGGCTAATACCACATGCCCCAGACGGAATAAACAGAAAAGAATCATCAAATGATCTCTCCCCTGTTATCCATTCACAGTCTCTGACAAACAGAGGCTAAGGACACCATTTCTACCCATCCTGGCTAATAAACACTCATGGACCTATCCTCCATGAATTTATCTAGTTCTTTTTTTGAATCCCATTGAAGTCCTGGTCTTCATAACATCCTCTGGCAAGGAATTCCACAGGTTGACTGTGGAAGAAATACTTGATTGTGTTTGTTTTAAATCTGCTACCTATTAATTTCATTTGGTGACCCCCCAACCATATATTTTGTCTTATTGCTGTTGTGGATGATAACGGAACACACCTCGTTGCTCATTTTAAGAGCACTTTTGCAGCAAATGACCGAAGGCAAAGAAGGTATTGATATAAGATTTCTAAAGATAGCTACAGTACTTGACCCAAGATTTAAGAATCTGAAGTGCCTGACAAAAATCTAAGGGACAAGGTATGGAACATACTTACAGAAGTCTTAAGAGCAACACACTGATACAGAAACTACAGAATCTGAATCACCTAAAAAGAAAAAAAAATCTGCTGATGATCATTTTCTTAATCTGAATTAGATGCTATCAGCTAACAGAACTCATCAGCAGCCTGGCCACATTGGTTATGGAATAGTGACTGAAGCATGAAGGGATATACGAATCTTTAGCACATCTGGCACAAGTATTTTGTGATGCATGGCACTGTTGTAGCCTGCAAGTACCTGTTTTCACTTTCAGGTGACACTGTAAACAGGAACCTGGCAGTATTACTTCCCACAAATGTAAACAAATTTGAGTGAATAAGTAGCAAGACTGAGCAGACATGTAGGCTCTAAAATTTTACATTGTTTTATTTTTGAACGCAGTTTTTGGTACATAATTCAAGTTTAACTAAGTTTAACTTTCATGATAAAGAGACTGCATTACAGTACTTGTTTTGAGTGAACTGAAAATTTTCCAGTGCAAATATTGTATTAAAAATAAATATAAAGTAAGACCTGTGCTCTTTGCATTCTGTATTGTAATTGAAATCAAGATATTTGAAAATGTGGAAAACATCCAAAACACTTTTTTAATGGCAATCTATTGTTTAAAAAGAGTGATTAATCTGGCAATTAACCACAATTTTTAATCACTGGACAGCAGTAATTAGTATATTAATACTTAGAGACTACCTAGAGACCTTTTTTGGAGTGGGGGGGAGGGGTCAGACTTTGGTATTGAGGAAGACTGACCCACTGGTTAGAGCCCTAGGCTAG